AATTTACAAATCTCAGACTTCAAAAATACAATCTCCTGCTGCAAGATAGAGAACTGTCTACAGATTAGACAACAACCAAACCTCCAAAAAGTGGAACGTAAAACAAATGCATAGCAACTATTACACTGAACTAAGTCTGCCATTCCAATGAGGAGAATAATTTAAATCAAACCAATCTTAACTTTTTATTTATCCTTCTGAATACCTCAGATTACCTCCAGGTTATCTCCAGAATATCTCCAACTACACACTTAGAAGCAACTCTTAGATGAAGCAACCAAGCTATATTAGCCAAGCTAATGACAACAGCCTTTATATAACTCCTAAAATCACCACCCACTAGGAATGTTTAACACCTGGGTAGGCCTCTGCTTATTTGCAAACAATAGCTAATTTAAACAGCAATCAATAGCAAGTAATCTAATCAAATCTAATCAAATGCCTTATAATTACCAACAGGAATTCAAACCTTGTGCAATCAGTAACCTTTTCCTACAGATGAATCTTACCTGTAACAGTGGAAAAGAAAGCTCTTAGCACAACTCTTAGACAGTTGAAGCTTCTGTAAAACTCTCCAGAATATCTCCAACTACACACTTAGAAGCAACACTTAGATGAAGCAACCAAGCTATATAAGCCAAGCTAATGACAACAGCCCTTATATAACTCCTAAAATCACCACCCACTAGGAATGTTTAACACCTGGGTAGCCCTCTGCTTATTTGCAAACAATAGCTAATTTAAGCAGCAATCAATAGCAAGTAATCTAATCAAATCTAATCAAATGCATTATAATTACCAACAGGAATTCAAACCTTGTGCAATCAGTAACCTTTTCCTACAGATGAATCTTACCTGTAACAGTAGAAAAGAAAGCTCTTAGCACAACTCTTAGACAGTTGAAGCTTCTGTAAAACTCTCCAGAATATCTCCAACTACACACTTAGAAACAACACTTAGATGAAGCAACCAAGCATGAGTTAGGCCTAGTCTAACTCATTATTCGTTTTTGACTTTGATGGCATAACCAGCAGAAAAACGATCCGTTTTGAATTAGTAATACGTTAAAACGGACTGGGCACATGAAAATGCTAAGGAGCTTTTCTCAAACCTTTTGGAGATGAAACATTGCATGGACTATTCCAGTAAACATGGCTGAGCCCATCTTCATGTGCCCAGTCTGCTTTATTTTATTATATATTTTCTGGGTGTTGTATGACCTGGTCTAGAGGCACTTTAGATGGTAAGTTGAAGCATATGCATTTATCATGAATTTTGAATTGTGAACACTTTGAAAGTTGCTGTGCAGCTTCTGCCGAAAGTCAAATATAACTCATTTGTTACCAACATTGTATTGTAGTACACCTCGATGTTAAAAGTCAAAGACAGCATGATTGACACTCTACCTCACATAATAATTATATACATTGGATGCATTAATGTATTTTTAGAAAAGTGATGCATTTGTTAGTGAGTGCATATTGTTTAGATCACTGGCCCTTAACAAAATGTAAAAAAAAGATACAGTGTTTGTGTTAAAATTAACAATGACAATGGCTTATGCAGTACATCTGTCTCTGTCATACTTTGGGCTGCTGAACATGCGGCTTCCAGGTGGTGCCATGCGGCAGCCACAAAGTTTCCAGTCCCACGCCATCCCGGCCACAGTAAATGCCACGTGGCGTTGGGTTGATCCTTGTGCAGAGCAACCCCTGCACGATCTGTCTTCTTGTGAGGCTGCAGGATCCTTATGGCAGCCTTGCACCACACACAGGAGTCCTTAGAAATTACAGAACCTTGTAGGTGTAGGTTTATTTTATAATATTAAAGTGACAGGTCATATTATTGGGACACATCACCTGCCCTTCACAGGTCACATCCCTTTGCATGATTTGGTGCAGGGTGATGATGCTGTCCAATAAGATTTTTGTTTAACTTCCCTCTTTCTTGAGATCATTGCCCTGTCGTGTATAATTCTGCCCGAGAGTGCATACTGTGTAGTTGTTATTGGTTTTCTTGTTACTGACCCAGCTTTGTATTTGTCTTTTCTGTATTTCTGGTTCCCTGACGTTGGCTTGCTATTTAGTTTTTTTGAGTATCTCTGGCGTCCTTGGCTATTTTGAATCTGTATTTTCGCCTTTCTATGGCACACAATTTAACCCGGCCACTCTAAGGTCCGGTATACGTACCTTTCTCTCTTCATTTCCTTCATTCTGGTTACTGTTTTCCTATGCTCTGTGTGTGGGGGGGCTACCCAATCTTGACAATCTCAAAGCTATCACATGCAATGATCTGCAGTTGTTAGGATTACAAGTTAATCCAGCACGCAGTACTGTCACACCTAGGACAAAGGATAACGTATAACCGGACCTTAGAATGGCCGGACTTAACATCTCCAAGAATAATCAAAATACTTGCCAAGGTCAGGGACACAGAATCAGACACAAAGATGAGGGAAAGCCAAAAGTCAAGGATACCAGATATCAGGGAAGTCAAAACAAAGCCAAAGTCAAATACCAGAAAATCAATATCAGGAATGCACTCTCGGATTACCATCAAGATGAAACCACGACAGGGCAATGATCAAGAGGAGAATAATAGGGTCTAAATACCCCTCTTGTGGATCTGATTGGCTGTAACCGGCCTTTGACCCCAAAAGTAATTACCAGGTTTCCATGTGCATGACTGCTGCTCGGCACAATTTTTCCTGTCAGGACGGTAATGTTGCTCGGCACAATTTTTCCTGCCATTAACCACAGTTTTATGTGTGGATAAATACGTGACAGAAGCAAAGTATAATAATCACGAGGACATCATAGTATCCTGCATATAATGTCACAGTGGTACATTGAATGGTTATTTTTTTTTTATTAAAGCCGCACATAAGCAATATTTCAGCTCTACACAACCATTTATCAAGTGACAAAACATAAACAGTGAGAGGGAGGATTTGAATAAACTGGAGGTTTCTTAAACCATTTTCTTTGTTTGTATGGCTGAACAATTTTGTGGGGACTTTGCGGTACTCCCATTGGCTGGCCAGTCTGGTGAATCTTTTTCTTGTTTGAAAGACTGAATTACATCTCAATTTAAGAAGATGCAGTTCTAATTTATTTTGTCAGTTCTAGTATTACATTCTATCCTACATTTCAAATGTCCTAACTGATTTTTTTTTTCGTTTGGAAGGAGTTTTGTGGTTATGGAACAGGAAACTACTTCAAATTTCTATTAGTGACTTCTTCACATAGTAACAGCTCTTTATGTCTCTTTAAGTCTTGGTACTGTGGACAATCCATATGGTGTGGGCTTGGTGCTCTTGAGGTGGTACAAAGATGACATCTTAATAATCTAGAAAGGTACAGAAAGAACCCTACGAGATTTTATATTTGGAATTGGAAGACGCTGAATAAGTGAGGACAGCTGAGAGAAAGGCACACACCAATGTATCCACCAATAAAGGAAGAGAATATTGTAGAAATCCCTGAGGGAGTCTATAGCTTATAGATGAAACAAGGAGGACCAGTATTGTTTTTTTATTTATGCATAATAAATATACTACTACACCATGATACCTGCATTGGAATGAAGCCAAATAAATCTTTGCTCTGCAAAGAGAAGGTGAAAGAAGGTGAACAGGAGTTGTGGGTACAGATAGCCCTCCCACCTACATCGAGGGGAGACACCAGTGAGATCTATAAATCTCTATTGCTATTGAGTACATTTATTACAGACTTGTGTGACTTTTTATACAGTACTATGCAATGTACTATCTTTGTTTTTTTATAACAAGCTGTAACCCAAAAATATTGCATTTTTGAATCAACAATATTATCCTCCATTTCCTTCCTTTGTTCTGTTTTTAGATATTTATGTACGTATATTAATTATCGTACATATTAATTTTAATGAAGAGGAGTCTTTTATATCTACAATTATAGTGTGTCATGATCACCAGGGTAACCTAAGCACACAGACGGGACACAACACATAGAATTGCAATACCGGTCCTTAGAATTTCCGGGCTATGCAAAAAGGGATAGTCAAAGTACAAGCCAAGGTCAAAGAGAAATAGAGAGATATAGTAAATGTAAGACAAGCCAAAGTTTGGTAACCAAATAAGCAGACAGAGTATAATGCACTATTGGGCTAAACACAGACCACAACAGGGCACTGAGGCAAGGGAAGAGGTTAGCTTATATACACACAGGGTGTGTCTGATTGACTAACCTCCAATTAGTGTTAACTACAACATGTGGGAGGTGTTTCTTCCTTCCCTTGTGGTCTCTGAGGTCATCACTGTCTGCCGGGTCACATGACCGGGTCTGGCACACATATAAGGATGTTGCTCTGGAGCGTGCAGCGTCAGAGACACTGTCAGTCTGGAGCACGGCGGCTGGGACAGCCGCACGCCACAGACAGGGACATGATGGCGCCGCTTGCGGTAATGGGGAAAGCAAGGGGACGCGAGCGTCGCAGAGGCAGGGGACCTGAAATAGTGTGTGAATGGTACATATAATTTTAGATCCCTCTACATATTTTTCCACAGGTGTTTAAAAAAAATTTGGAACTCTGGGACATTTCCTGCCTCTTGAGTTTAACTCAATTGAGCTAAGCTACCAGAAAGTAACAGGACCTTTTGCCTGCTTCAAAACCAAAGGGTGTATAAAGGTTAATTTATAAAAATACCAATTTCTAGAATATTATCTCGGCAAAGGAGAAGTGCTCACTAACACAGATTTAGACAGATTTATGAACAATATTTGAGAGAAATAGGCCTTTTGTGTAAATATAAAAAGTCTTTGAGTTCAGCTCGTGAAAAATGAGGTGCAGAAACAAAAGTGTTGCGTTTATAATTTTATTTTCCAGTGTATATATAAAGTATCTTTATTAATAGGAAAGTCTCCTTTAAAAACTAAATTCACTACAGCAGCTGTTTTGCTATTAAAGATATAGCTATTAAAATGTTATTCCAACAGTTTTTACAAATGACTGATCACCAGCTGAGAAATAAAATTTTAACTGAATAGGCAACTTTGATCAAGAACCTTGTTTAACATTAAATATACAAGAGCAATTAATAAATCATCCTCTTTCACAATATTAAAATATATTGCACGGAAATGGTCCTTATTCCAGATAAGAAAACCTTAGTAACCATGGCAACACTTGTTTTATAACTCATCAAGTAAATTGTATCAATACTTTTTTCCAACAGGGACTTTAAACAGAAAACTTTACCAGTTTACCATGAACAAAGCACATATTTGTTGATCAGTTAAGTATGATTAAATCAGTGCAATTTCAGCAGAATCCCATGTACATATTACAAGTCCTACTCACTTAAACGCCCCCACTGTCAGAAACAGTGGCATGAGTCATTTGCTACAATTCCACACTTAAATGAACACAGATAAATAATTCACTTATGCCTTTAGTGAAAATGCATCAGTAGTATGTGCTGTAAAAAAAATATAAAAAGGCATATTTTGAAGTAGAAATCCTTGTCAAATGGCTTTAATTTTGATAATTATGAATATATACCCACACTATGTTAAATTATAAATGGTTTAGCGTTCGGAGATTTTGACATTTTAATGGTTGAAGTGGTGTTTATTAGGTAAAATGCTTCTTTGCTGTCACAAATGAATATATCTTAAGGGCTGCAGCTGTCTTGTGTAATATATGGAAAATCACATCAGGTTTAGCCCCAAACCAAGTAATTAACAGACTCTCTGTGGACATAGTCATTGAGTCTATATCTGGAGAGGTATTGCTGGTCTCCCCATTCATATCGATTGCCAATTGCATACTAAGTAACAGTGTAACCACAAGACATGTAAGCCATTTATTTGATTTTATTGGTTTTAGCTTAAAGTCTATAAAGGTAAGGATATGTGTTTTAAATAGCAATCAATACAAATAAAGCTAAAATAAGACTAGCCTTAGCATCTATTAAGTTCTACTTCATTTTAGTAAGACCTAATGTAGAACATTAATTTGAATGTGTAATAAGTATATATTATTAAATGTTTACTAGGTAACTAGACAAAAATGATCAAAGGGACACTATAATCACCAAAACAATGTTTGCTTAATGGAGCAGTTTTGGTGTATGGATCATGTCCCTGCAGTCTCACTGATCAATTCTCTGCCATTTAGAAGTTAAATCACTTTGTTTATACAGCCCTAGTCACACCTCTCTGCGTGTGACTTGCACAGTCTTCCTAAACACTTCCTGTAAAGAGTCATCTAACGTTTACACTTCTCTTTAAAACTCTGTTTAAGTTAGAATTTCTCATTTCCTGCTCTGTTAATAACTTGCTAGACCTTGCTTGAGCTTCCTGTGTGTGAAATTAAGTTTAATTTACAGAACAGGAGATACAATTAAGACTAATTGATTGGATATGAAACCATTATTTTTCATGCAGGCTGTGTAAGTCACAGTCAGGGGATGTGTGGGTAGGGTTGCATTGACAGAAAGAGAAATGATTTAACTCCTAAATGGCAGAAATTTTGCAGTCAGACAGCACTAGCATGCTGTATACACCACAATTGCTTCACGAAGGTAAAGTTGTTTTGGTGACTATATGGTGTCCCTTTAAACAGACAACAAGGTTGTATATCAAAATATATTTTGATATCAATCTCAGTAACTCCTTAGAATATTGAGGAATGTATACTTTGATTGGTATTTAATTATTTAGTCACTGGTACATACCTGTTAGAGTGTCAGCTTAATATGCTGTAAGGGAAGACACATTCTGATAACAATCTCAGTGATTCTGTAACAGAGTTATTTACTCAACTGAGAATTCAAAATGAATTATAAATTTTAGGCTAGGGTAGCTAGCCTGAAAACAAAGCTAACCTAGAAAACAAAGCTAACCTAGACATTTTTTTCAGTTTGGCCATTTCCACCTTAAATCTGAATTTCACTTTGAATTCACATTGACTTCTCACTTTAGGGAATAATCCTTTAATTCTACCGGGTTAACATGAGAAATCAGAAAATAAAAACGTCCTTAAAAGTTAGGTAGCAATTTGGGTAACAAACAGAATGTATATAATATAATGGTGGCGTTGTTTCTTCTTTTCATTAATTATTTAGGTGAAAATACTTGATTACTATACTTGCACTTATGTGTACGTAACTTCCTTCTGATGCAGTAGTTCAGCAGAACAATAATACACTGCTGTATTCTTCAGATACTCCAAAGATGTTTATTTTGAGGGATAGAATGTTGTATTAAAATGTTTACATTGTTGGTTAGTAACACCTCTGGTGGCAGTCACTCAGACGACCCCTAGAGGTGCTTCCTGTGTCAGTGCTGGAAAGTAGGCAGCACTAGCATTCAGCGTCAGCACGCTCTGCATGGAGACACTGAATGCTCTCCATATAGATGCATGCACACTACTAATGACCTTTTCATGGGTTTTAGTACAAATATCACAATCTCCGATATTGTTCTATGTACACTCCTTTTTTTATTGATTGCATGTAATATTCTAATTTACTGAGATTGTAGATTTGGGGTTTTCATGAGCTGTAAGCCATAATCATCGCACTTATGACAAATCACGGCTTGAACTATCTTGCTTTGCATGTAATGCAGAGAGGGGGAAGAGTCTGCGCTAAACCAAAAAAGCAGCAACCCTAAAAGGGAATCCCTCAAGAAACCCTTTAAGAGACAGGAAAATACAAAAGAGGGGGTTAAGGGCTGTGCTAATGAATAATAGATAGTAAATAAATCAACAAATAATAATAAAACCAGATATAATCAATAGACAAAGTTCATCCAAAAATAAATTGAAACAGTCTCACTGATATGTGATGATAAGATAATAGTCCTCAGGTGTTGATCCGTCCGTATGGTGGCAGATAGTCCATATATGTGGAAATAAAAAACAAAAAGAGAGCTTCCAATGGTGAAATATTGTACGTCCAAATGTGATGTATAAATCAAGAGAAAGGTATTTCACTCACATTTGTTGGAGCTTGAACCAGCTCTAGGAGAAGAGGCACTTAGTGGTTTGATCCCCACTATCGGATACACTTGAGTGGTGGGTCCGTCTGTCCGGCTTAGGATTTCCTTGGTGTAGGCTGGGACCTACTCAGATGTACGTAGTTCTTTGGTGCTGGGGAGATAGGTCCGCCTCTCCAATTTTGGATAATGGGTATCCACGAAAATATATAAAACAGCAGATAGTGCTCTCAGTTTGAACAATAAAACAATTTTATAAAATAAGTTATACTTACAAGAATAGAGCAGACAGATACTGCTCTATTACCACAGCGCTGGTGGAATTATCCCCACCTAAGGATTTCTTTGGACGGGATACACTTGAGGATTAAAATTTAAAAATTATATTTTGTAAAAAATAAAAGGATAAAAAATAAAAAATAATATATAAAAAATAAAAATAAAAAACTTAAAAATAATAATAGGATATATGAGAGTGCCAGGAGTAGTTAGAGTGTATAAAATGCAATAAAAATAAGTATAAAATTGGTCCTAGTATAAAAGGTAACCAAAAATAACTTTTATTGATTTAAAATACACTTATTAAAACCATTTACGCGTTTCACCTATGAGGTTTTTTCAAAATGGTAAAAGAACAATACACCTGGCAGAAAACAGAATTTATAAGTACATACAGAGATTGAATTTGGCGCCAAATTTTAGTGCACCAATCATATTCAAGAATTAAAACCGAACAGAAAATACAATTAGAAATGAGTTAAAAACCATGTGGATACAATGGTCTAAGCCTAATTATGCTTAGGTAGTACGAATTTTGTTAAAACAAAGCTTTTGAAGAGATTTAATTCCAGTTGGTCCCGATCACGTGATCGGGACGTGCCGCGCATGCGCGGACCGTCTAAATAGGCGGATCACATAAAAATGTAAACAGAGGGCTCAGTGGCCGGCATGGGAGCGCAATGCTCCATGGGAAATGGAGTCCTGCCGGTCACTGAGCTCCCAATGATTATAAACCACAGAGTGAGAACATATTAAGAAAAAACAAAGAGGATTTAGTTTAAAATCATAGTAGAAGGACATGGAAGGTTCCACTAATTTAGCATAAGGATGTTAAACAAATGAACATATAAGCTGCATATTGCAATAAGAATGGTTATACAAATGAAAATAAAATAATTTTTTATATGTGGTGTATAATTTGTAAATATTGGTAATATAAATACACTAAAAATAAATTAAAGGGATAAAACTTTAATAAAAAAGGTAACATTAAAAAGTGGATTTTGTTATAAAAAAATTATGCAGATCGAAATCTGCATTAAGTCCATTAGGTGTTAGAGTCTGTAGTTTATAGACCCACTCCATCTCATTTTTGCCTAAAATATTTTTTATATCTCCTCCTCTCCAAGGTAATGAACATTTTTTTATACCCATATATTTTAACATTGTTTTTTTAAATAATATTGATACCCTCTAAGATAAAATCTATTTGTTCTTCCGAAATTCTATCTTCCTTTATTAGAATATTTTTAATGGCTTCACATCCAATATTGTGAGGTATAATTGTGTATAATGATTGGACATCACAGGTAACCAGGATAAAATTGGGGTCCCATTTAAAATCATTTAAAAAGTTTAAAAGAGACATAGAGTCTTGAAGGTAAGATTTCATTTTTTTAACGGCAGGTTGTAAAATAGATTTTATCTTAGAGGGTATCAATATTATTTTAAAAAACAATTATTTTTGGTTTTTAGACTCCTTTTACCTCCAAAAAAGAGGAACAGCTATGGGTACCAGGTTTGCCCCTAGTTATGCCAATCTGTTTATGGCAGATTGGGAATCTACAGTTATTTACAATGGAGATAATCTAAGGGCAAACCTGGTCTCATATTTTAGATATATTGATGATCTTTTTTTTTATCTGGAACGGATCCGAAGACAATCTTATTTCTTTTTTTAATGTTCTTAATACTAATAACAGGGGTATAATTTTAACCCACGAATTTAGTAGAGAACAAATAAATTTTTTAGATCTCAATATATTTATCAAAAACGGTAAAATTAATACAAAAACCTTTTTTTAAAAAGTATGTGTCAATACAGTGATTGACAAGAACAGTTGCCACTATAAACCGTGGCTTGATAGTGTCCCGAAAAGTCAATTTCTCAGACTATGCAGAAATTGCACTCAACTAGAAAATTTTGAACAACAAGCTAATACTCTCAAAAATAAATTTATGGAGACAGATTACCCAGAAAAAGCCCTATTGGAGAATATTAATGAAGTAAAAAACAAAAATAGAGATGAGCTTTTAAAATATAAGCTTAAAAGCAA